TGCAGCCCTACAAGTGCAGAACGCCAGCTCCGCTCCTTCCTCTGCTCTCAGCCCATCTCCTGCCCCGTTCCCCCCACCCCAGGCTGCGTGCAGAGCGGTGCTGCCATGAGGAGAGGTCGCAGGGCTCCGTATCTCCACAGCCCCACTGGATCTGGCTGCAGGTCTACACCTGTGACTACACATGGAGTGTGCTCCTGCACGCACGTGGAGTCCCACTCCCCCCAACCCTTCATAGAGAGGCAGTTTTGCCCTCCAGCCCTATGCTGGGAGACCTCATCCCCTCCTCACCCCCCAGCTGCCCCCCACCTCCCCCCAGCTGCTCCCACGTTGAAAGCCACTCCCTGCCCTGCATTCCTGGGGCTATCAGATCCCACACCCCCGGCCCCCACCCCGGCACTGCTGGACACTCCCTCCCCAGGGGCCAGGACTCGTTGCTCCCCCACCTCCTGCTGCACCCATGCTGCACCCAGCCCTGTGCCCCCCCCTTCCCCTCCCTGGCACAGCCTCCCACCCTATGCTCCGTGGGAATGGCCACAGCCCCACATTGGGTCCTGCTCTTGGGGTGTTGGGGCTTTGTGGGTGCCCTGGGCCTCCCGGCAGCACATGGGGAGCAGTTGAGGCATGGGGAGGACCTTGGGGTGGCTGTGTTGTGCAAACCACCGTTGAGCACGCAGAGGAATCGTGGGCAGCTGCAGGTTTGCAGGTGAAGCAATGGAGTCCTGCTGCCCCGTTCCTGGTAGCAGCTCTGGGGGCACTGGGGTTGGGGGGGTATCCCTGGGCTGGGGCTGTTTGTGCCCCCTCCTCCCAGCACCCGGGACATGAAAGCCACCAGAACGCCCCGACCCTTTCACCAGGCTCTCGGTGAAGCCTGACCCCGGCACAAAGCCCCCAGGAGAAACATTTGAATCTGAAAAGGGGTCTGAGCACGGAGCCCTGACCTTCAACCCGTGGGTCAGCCCATCCACACCACTGCCAGTGGCCCCCCCCCCCCGAACCCCCCGACGAAGCAGCCTTGTCCCAGCCGAGACAGCAGCCCTACAGCCCCCCTGTGCATCCCTACATCCCTGCATCCCTACCGTGCATCCCTGCCCTGCACTTCTGCATCCTTCCAGCTCTGTGTCCCTGCCATCCCCCTCCACGTCTTCAGAGTGCTGACAGCCCCACTCCTGCTCTTTTCCCCTAGCAGAACGTCTTCAAGGGATCTTTAGCAACATGGTCATCTATTATATGCTTATAAACATCTGTGCCCTACACTTCTGCCCCCTGCATCCCTGCCCAGAATCCTTATGTCCCCATGCCCCATCTCTGCCTGGAATCCTTTTATCCCCATACCCCGGCACCTTGGTGTCCCCGATTCCCCCCTTGCCGCCCACCCCACACCCCGTCTGCCCACCCGCCATCTGGATATCGATCTGCTGAGCCTTGAACTCCACAGCAGGACGTCCCCAGGGTGCTGCAGCCCTCCATCCCCCCCCTGCGGCCCCGTGCTTCGGTCTCCCCAGCGCCCCACACATCCCACAGCCCCACACGCATCTTCACCCCACGCTCACCCCACTTCTGCTGGGCTCTCATTGCTGCGGGGGACGCACAGCCGCCTCCAGCCCCGCTCCCCCCCCCCCCAGCCCCTGACCCCGTGCGGGGTCACTGCTCCTCTTCCTCCTGAATATGCATGGGGCCACCGCCGTCACCTTTGATCCCGCGTCAGGGCGAACGGAACGGCTTCATCTGGGGCCGCGGGAAGGGGGGGGGGGAACGGCTTTGTTACAGGGATGAGCCGACCCCACAGCCCCCCCATCCACCCCCAGTGCGGCCGAGCCACAGCCACGAGCACCAGTGCTTTATTGTCCCCTGCGTCCCTAAATGCAGGTCTCGCCGCCAGCCCTGCGCTGCTCCAAGGCCTGCAGCCGTCGTGCCAATGCCTGCATGCGCTGCGCCTGCTGCTGCTGCACGGCTCCTGCCCGTGCCTCCAGGTGCTGCAGCTGTGCTGCCTGCTTGTGCCGGGCGCTGCGGTACGCCAGGGCCAGAGCACTGTGGGGACAGCATCAGTGTGGGGTATGGGGATGGAGTGGGGGCACTGCGGGCTGTGGGGGCAGGCTGCGGTGGGTGCGTGGTGACAGAGTGCAGGCAGGGAGAGCGGAAAGGGAGACCGCGCTTTGCGGGAAGGGTGCTTTGCAGGAGGAGATCTTGCTTTGTGGGTGCGCAGGAAGGGACGGCACTTCTGGGGTGCGCAGGAGGGCGGAGAGTTTTGAGAGGGTGCAGGAAGAAACGGTGCTTTGGGGCACGCAGGGGGGACGTGCACCCAGGACATGCAGGAAAGCCCCATGGTTTAGGCTGCCCTTGCCCACCTGTGAGCATGGAAGGACTCTCTGGTGACGGCGATGCACTTCTCGTGCTGCACACGGCTGACAGCACTGCTCTGCTCCAGGGACAGCACCAGGGCCTGTGCTCGGGCGTGCAGCTGCTCGATGCTGTGGGACACACGCATGGCAGTGCCCGGCACAGCGCTGCAGTTAATGCAGCACACCCAGAGCTGTGGGCTCTCACCGTGCCAAAGCACGCTGCAGCTCCTGCGCCGTCCTCTCCGGGTCCGCAGGGCGCTGCAGTGCTGCTGCTCCCATCGGAGCATCCTGCAGAGAGCAGAGGGGGGCAGCAGTGTGTGTGTGGGGGGTCAGCACCGAGCAGCCCCTGGGACGCAAGGAGCCTCACCTCCTCGCTGCTGCTGGAGCTGCTGGAGGGGCTGTGAGCCCCCTGCTCCCGCTCCATGTGCTGCAGCACCAGGCGCAGCGCTGCCTCCCGTGGGCCCTGCGCAGCCACCAGCACTTCCAAGCCCCTCTTCTCCTTCTCTGCCAACTGCAGCCGCATCCTCAGCTCGGCCATGGCCTCCTGGCAGAGCAATGCTGTCACCATCACCTCCCGTCATCACCTCCCCCGGGGGACCTCGCTGTGCTCACCTTCAGCTCTGCGATCTCCCGCAGCAGCTCCGCTCTCTCTGGCCGCCTCCAGCCAGGCAGGAGGGCACGAGCATCCTGCAGAGCACGCTCAGCACGGGCACGGATGTCCTCACCACAGCGGGATGGGGCGCGGGTGGGCATGGGGACATGGCTCAGGGACACCTGCACGGCCGCCTGCTCGGCACGCAGCTGCCGGATGGCCTCACGCAGGGCCCCCTCCTCTGACCCGTGGGCGCTGTGTGGACAGGGATGAAGGGGCAGTGAGGTGGGCGTAGGGTGCTGGGACACCCTGGGGATGGGAATGGGGTACCTGTGCAGCCTGGGGCAGGAGCTGACCCCGCTGTCCTTCGGCTCTGCTTGGCCCGGGAGCTGCAGGCTCTGTGTGGGGCTGGGCCCACAGCCATGCTCTGCGCTCTGCTTCCCCATGGCTCCTGGGAATGGGATGGGTGGTGTGGCCACGGTGTGCTCAGTGTGCCAGCACCCAGGATGCCCGCATCCCCTCAGAATCCCCACAAAATCCCATTATATACCCCTGCACGCCTGCAGCATCCTCCCAATATCCTCCCGCCATCCCCTCAACACAGCCTCCTTCCTCCATGCCCCCACAGATGACCCTCAGCACCCCGACATCCCGCGTCCCCCAGGTTGGCACTCACCAGCATCGGGGCCGTGCCCATCCCTGCCCAGCTTCGCCCACATCCGTTCCAGCAGTGCAGCATAGGCGTCCACGCAGCGCTCACTGCACACAGAGGGGCTCAGCGCAGCACTGGGGCTGTTCCTCCCCCCCCCCCCCCCACCCCAACCCCATCCCTGCCCCGTCCCCACCTGCAGTGCAGTGCCAGGCGCAGCGCGCTGCTGCGTGACTCGTGCTGCCCCAGCACCATGCTGAGCCGCTCCGAATCGCTCTTGCAGTCGTGCAGGGCAGCCGAGAGCTGCTGGTTCACCTCCTTCAGCCTCTCCGTGTGCCTGTGCATCGCTGCCCGGTCAGCTCTGTGCCTCAGTTTCCCCACCAGAGGTGCTCAGCAGTTGCTGGGGTCGGGGGGACTCACCCCTGTAGCTGTTGCATCCTGTCCTCCAGCTCCTGGCTGGCACCTTCTGAGGGCAGGGGGGAGAGCGGGCTGTGGGGCTGAGCGCTTTGGTGCTGAGCTTCGTCGTAGCTCAGGAGGCAGCCAGACAAGTCCTGCAGAGGGGACAAGGAGAGCCCAGCACTGAGGGGGATCCCCTAAATGGAGCCCCATCCACCCTTGCCCCGCACTCACCTGGGGGTCCCCCAGTCTTGGAGCACTGCTGAGCCCCACGGCGTCACCCCCAGCACCACCCATTCCTTCCAGCCTGGCCAGAGCCTCCTGCAGCTCCCACACCTGTGTGAGCACAGCGCTGAACCCAAGGCCCAAACCGTGGGGCTCAGACCGGTGCTGCCCCACACCCACCTTCCCCTGCAGCCGCTCGCGCTCCCCCTGCAACGCCTGCAGTGCCTCCGTGGTGCGGCTCAGCTCCTCGTCGCGGTGCCCCAGCGCCTCCAGCAGCGCCGCGTTCCTCGCCGCCGCCTCCAGCAGCCCCTCTCCCCTCTCCAGGCCCTGCCACGTCCCCGCCACGCGCTGCAGCTCCTCCAGGCTCTGGAGGCACAAGGCCGTGGGGCAGTGCCCACACCCGTGGTGTCGGGGCTGTCCGTGGCCGCGCTGCCCCACCTGTGCCCACTCTGCTGGCGGTGCCGGCGTGCGCCGATGCCGGGAGATGACGGCGCGTTCCAGCGAGCTGACGGCGTGCTGCAGGGCAGCAAAGAGGTCGGGGCGGGGGGCTGGGGAGGGGGCGCGGGGTCAGCTCCTGGCGTGGCGCGGCACGCCGCACCGTGGCACAGCGCAGTGCGCCATGGCAAGGCATGGCACGGAGAGCTGCACCCACCTTCCTTCCCAGTGCCATCGAGCCCTTGAGGCTGCCGCCCATCGGGGCGGGGGCTGCTGGTGCACCCCGAGTGCTCTTCTTCCTCCTTATGGGGCAGATGCCGAGTGCTGTGGGGGTTTGTGCAGGCCAGCAGCGTGGTGATGTGCTGCTCATCCCCTGCCGCAGCTGGGTCCTCATCTTCATCCTTGTCCTCGTCCTCATCCCTGCCCTTGTCCTCGTCCAGCCGCTCGCTTGCAAGGCGCAGTGGGGAGGAGGGGCTCTGCCCAGCCTGGCCCTGGGGGTCAAAACATGCAGAGGGGGTGCCTGTGTGGTTGGGGTGCAGTGAGGCTGCCGCCGGATGCAGTTTGGCAGAGATGGGGACAAAAAATGAGCTCTGGGGACATGAAGCACCCTGTGCCCTCTGGGTCACCCCACTCGCCTCCTCCATCCCTTGTCGCCTTCCAGCACCCGGCCCCACAGTTCAGCCCCACAGCTTGGCCCCACAGTGACCGGATCCCGCAATGACCGGATCCTGCTGCTGGTGGGGCCCCGCGGGGCCGCCCCTGGCCTTGGCCACTCTGTGTTCCTGCTGAGATTTCCTCTTCCTCAGCAGCCCCGCTGCATCCTGCACTTAACTGTTGCGCTGCCCTGCGCCGGGTGACGGCCATCCTGGGGGGCTCTGGGGACCCCATCCCCACCCCATCGCCCCGCTCTGCCCCACGCCGGGCCTCCCGTGCACGTGGCTGCCCATGGAGCCAGCTGTGAGCACCACTCTGCCCACTGTCCTTGAGTGCAGGAGGATTTGCATGAGTGCAGGACGGTGCGCACGGATTTTTGGGGGTGCAGGAGGCTGCGCGCGTGGGTATTTGGAGTGCAGGGGCTGTTGCACGGCGGTGCACACGTGTTCGGGGTGCGGTGCGCGCCCGGGTGACGCCACGTGTCAGCAGCGCCCGGAGAACTACAACTCCCAGCAGCCCCTGCGAGGGGGGGCACTTCCGGGTTGCGCCGAGCGGGGCTCGGGCGGCCGAGAGCGGGTGAGAGCGCGGAGGGGCTGCGCGGGGATGAGGGGCAGCGGGGGGGGTTGGGGTCCGTGTGTGCCGGGGGGGGGGGGGGGGGGGGCGGTCGGGAGGGGCCCCCCCGCCCCGGGGGTGCGTGGAACGGGAGGGAGAGGGGTGGGGGTGAATGGGGCGAGGGGGTGTGCAGAGTGCGGGGTGTCGGAGGAGAGGGTGCACAAAGCTGGGGGTGCACGGGTGTGGGGTGCACGGAGCTGGGGGTGCACGGAGCTGGGGGTGCACGGAGCTGGGGTGCACAGAGCAGAGTATGCGTGGGGTACGGAGTGCACAGAACGAGGAGTTTGTGGTTGTGGGGTGCGCGGAGCAGGGGGTGCCTGGGGATTGGGTCACACGGTATGCATGGGGTATGGGGTGCACTGAGCAAAGGGTGCACAGCATGAAGAGAGCACGGATACGGGGTGCACAGAGCTGGGGTGCAATGATCCCCCGCCCCTCACAGCCCCCTCCTCCCCAGCTCGGTGCCATGGAGCGCAGCTGCGGGATGGACACGTCTGGGCCGGGCAGTGCTGCTGAGGAGGAGGAGGAAAAAGCTCCGGAGCAGCGGCCCCGCACTCGCTCCAACCCTGAAGGTGCTGAGGATCGGGCATTGAGCGCTCAGAGCAGTGTGGGCAACCGCAGTGAGGGCGAGGGGGAGGCGGCCAGCAGTGAGGACAGCCCCCAGGGCACCGCAGCCCCCGATGGCACCGCCTGGCCCGGCCCTGCACACCCCCCTCCCGAGGTGCAGGTGAAAACGCCGAGGGTGAACTGCCCTGAGAAGGTGGTGAGTGCGTGGTTCTGGGGGGGGGGGGCTCGGTTGTGGGGTGCAGGGCTCAGCCATGGGGGTCTCACCCAGATCATCTGCCTGGATCTGGCTGAGGAGATGGCTCTACCCAAGCTGGAGTCGTTTAATGGGTGAGTGAGTGGTGGGGCTGGTGTGGGGAAGGGGTGAGAGGGGGGGACCCTGCTGAGCGCTGTGCCCCCCCCTCCCCTCCCCAACATTCTTGACAGCTCCAAGACCAACGCACTGAACATCTCGCAGAAGATGATTGAGATGTTTGTGAGGACGAAGCACAAGATTGACAAGAGCCACGAGTTTGCACTGGTGGTGGTGAACAATGATGCCACGTGGGTGAGTGGGGATGGGGTGGGATGGGGCGGGATGGGGATGGGGATGGGGATGGGGATGGGGATGGGGATGGAATGGGGTGGGGATGGAATGGGATGGGATGGGGTGGGGATGAAATGGGGATGGGGATGGCTCTGTGACCCTCACCTGCCCCCTCCCAGCTTTCAGGGTTCACCTCGGACCCCCGTGAGGTCTGCAGCTGCCTCTACGACCTGGAGACCGTCATCTGCAAGTCCTTCAGTATCCGCTGATACTGGGGCAGGAAGGGGTCTCAGTCCATTCTTGCAGAGGGCAGAGACCCATGGTGCCCCTGGTGCAGCCTGGTGTGCCATGGGTGTGATGCCAGCTCCTCCACAGCCACCAAATGGCATTTCTGGAGGTTTTGCCCCCAGTTTTGTCCCATTCTGCTGCATCACTGGTGCGCGTTGGGTTTGGTTATGGGGGTGGGGGGGTGGGGGCTCTGTGTGCCAGCATTGCTCCTTACCTCACACCGCAGATCTGGATGGGCTCTTCAACCTCATGTGAGTCCATACAGCTGGGGGGGCGGCGCTGGGGGGGTCAGGGCTGGAATCTCCCAGTGCAGAGCAGCCCCTGGGGGGTGTTACTGGGGCGGGGGGCGCATTGCATGGCGCTCAGTCCCAGCATGGCATCACAGCCAGCAGAAGATCGAGCTGCCGGTGACGGACAACGTGCAGACCATCCCGCCACCCTACGTGGTGCGCACCATCCTGGTGCTCGGCCGCCCCGGCTGCCAGCCCCAGTTCTCTGTGTCGGAGCAGATGAAGGTAAGGAACCCCCCCCCTCCTCACCCCCCTGGGCTGAACACCAATTTCTGCACGCTGGTGCATGCGGAGCCGTGCTCGCTTCTCCCCCTGCAGAAGATGCTGCAGTGCCCTTATTTCTTCTTCGACGTCGTCTACATCCACAATGGGGCGGAGGAGAAGGAGGATGAGACCAGCTGGAAGGTATGCATGGAAGGGGTGGGGGGAGACAGCGCTGTGCCACCCCCCTGCTGCTCATATCCTTTGCCCCGCAGGAGCTGTATGCCTTCTTTGGCAGCTTGGACACCAAGGGCACCAACTACAGGTATGAGGTGACGCTGACAGGGCCAGCGGTGGAGCTGCACAACTGCATGGCCAAGCTGCTGGCGCATCCCCTGCAGAGACCCTTCCAGAGCCATGCAGCATACAGCCTGCTGGAGGGGGACGAGCCCCCCGAAGTGGAGGCCACCGTCTGATCTGGGGAAGGGCCACCCCACGGCCACCACACCATTGGATTTGGGTGCACGGCTGTGGAAACGGGGAAAAAAGAGATGTTTTCCTGCCTGGCTGTGGTGGTGGTGTGGTGGTTTCTGTACTGGAGATGTGAGGGAGGTGAGGACGCCCAGGGGGATGTGAAGGATGCTGTGGATGGCAGGGGATAGCCGGGGGCACAGGGCAGCGCTGGGGCTGCTGCTGGACGTGGTGAGGGGCTGGGAGGGGGGGGTTACTGGGAGGCACTGGGTGGTGACGATGCAGGGTAGTGGGAAGCATCGGGCAGTTCTGTGCACAGCGCTGCGCGGGGCACTGCGTGCAATGCTGGAGCGCGGCGCTGGGTGGCGCTGGTGCGGAGCGCTGGAGGCACCGGGCGGAAGTGGGGCGGGCAGCGGGCGCCGCAGCTCGGCACTTGTGGCCACGCCCCCTTCGTTCTCCCCCACATCCGGCGGAAGGGTGTGGCGGCCTCTGGCCGCCTCCTATTGGTCGCCTCGCCCGCCAATCAGCGGCGGCGCGCGGGGAATTCGAAGCTGGGAGGCGCGTGCGCAGGGCGGCATGAATGGCGCGGGGCGGCGCGGGGCGGCGGGGCGGCTGTGTGCGGCGCTGCGGGGCGGGCGCGAGGAGTAAGAGGGCATCGGGATGGGATGGGATGGGACGGGACGGGATGGGATGGGATGGGATGGGTCGGGTCAGGGGTCGAAGGTTGCACGGGGAAGGGTCGGGCGTTGCAGCAGCCCGGGCTTCGCGGCGGCGGCGTGGGCTTTGCAGCCCGGGCTGTCGCTTTGCCGTGTGGCCGAGGCTCGGGTGATGCTGCGGTAGGGGCGGTGACCCCGCGTTGTTCCCCCGCAGGGCGGTGGAGATCCTCCTGCGGCACGGGGCCGACCCCAATCTGCTGCTTTCAGGGGGGTTCGCCCCCATCCATCTGAGCGCTGCCGGGGGGTCCGGGGGAGGCGTGCGCTGCTTGCGGCTGCTGCTGCGCTATGGAGGGGACCCCAATGCCAGGTAACGGCCTTGGGGAGCTCGGCTCCGTTCTGCCGAGTGGGAGCGGAGCCCCCGAGAGGACGGCGGTGACGCCGGTACGGTGGTAGGGCTGCCGAGGGGCTCACGCCGCTGCACGTCGCTGCGTCCTGGGGGAGCTGCGGGTGCCTGGAGCTGCTGCTGCAGAACGGGGGGGACCCGGAGCTGCGGGACCAGGTTAGCGCTGGGGGCGGCGCCTCGGAGCCCTCCGTCCTTGGTGGGAGCGACACCAGCAGCGGTGTTCCTTCCCTGCAGGACGGGAAGCGAGCCATCGACCTGGCGCTGGAGCAGGGCCATGGGCTGTGCGTGCGGCTCCTGCGGGACTGGAGCCTCCCGGCCCCCCGGGGACTCCGGCGCTCACTGTCCTTCTTGTCCGAGGATTGCAGCGCTGCGGAGCTGCTGAGCAGCACTCGCGTGACCCAGCTGGAGGAGCCTGGGCTGGGGGGCAGCTGTCGGTTGGGGGAGCCCCCGTGCTGTGTTCAACCCTCCTTGGGTTCCTCCCTCACCCCAGGGTGTCTGGCTCTGCCTCTGCAGCCCCTGGCATCCAGCACACTGCTCTGGGCTGGGGGTGAGCATGAGGAGGTACCCCTAAAGGGAACGGGGGCGTGCAGCTCCTCCCTGCAGCCCACTGCTGGGGCCAGGAGCCCCCCCCAGCCCCTGCGCTGCAGCAGGGATTGTGGGGTGTTGGAAGCAGGAACCAGAGGCCATGACCTCCCTGGGGACGGCAGTGAGGATAGCGAGCATTTCCTCACTGCAGTGGAGATGTTGGAGCCCAGCAGGGCTGGGGTGTGCCCAGGAGAAGCCCCCTCCTCAGCAGGACCCTGTGAGCTGCCTGCCCAGAACCCCTCAGCTGCGGAGGAGCTGCCTGTGCTGTTCCAGGGCTGCAGCCTCGAGGGCTCCCCCCCCCGCAGCCTGGAGCTCCCTTGCAGCCCTGCTGTAGGGGATGTCACTTCACAGGGGCTGCAGCACCCCCAGTTCTGCCACGTCACCCCCCGCACCAAGAGCCGCCTTCAGGCCTCAGCAGCGAGGCTCAATGCTTCCTCCTCCTCCTCCTCCTCTCTTTTTGATGCCAGCCTGGAGAAGCCCCGCAGGCCCCCCCGGATCAGAGCACCCAGGGGCGTCCCCGGCGACCCTGCCACCACCCCAGGGCACTGTGTTGCCCTCGGTGGTGAGGATGTGTCTGGTGGGGATGCAGAAAGCACAGGGTCCTCAGATGACACCCAGATCCTCCCCAGGACCCCCAGCCAGCCCCTGGGGACCAGCAGCTCCAGCCCCACAGTGCTGCTAGCTCCTGGGGATCACGGCTGTGCCCAGAACCCTCTGTCGGGTGCTGAGGGATCCCTCAGCCCTACTGTGCTGCTGGGTCCTGGGGATCCCAGCCACCCCCAGGACTCCCCATCAGATGCCCAGTGTTCTCCCAGCCCCACAGTGCTGCCGGCTCCTGGGGGCAGTGACAACCTCCAGGATTCCCCATCACGTGTTCAGAACTCCACTCCTGCCACTGACCCCAGGATCCCGGAGCCAAGGACCCCACCGATGCCGTGCTCGCCTGCGGACCGCAGTCCCCACCAGCCCGTGGATCCCGACGGATGCCCGCCCTCTGAGTGGCACAGTCCCAGTGCTGAGACCACCGGCCCTGGGGACGGGGACCAAGTGCAGTCCCTGCGGGTGCTCTCAGATGAAGCACTCCTCCGGCGGCTGCGGGCGCTGGGCTACGACCCAGGACCCATCACAGTGCTCACCCGGCGCGTGTACCTGCGGCGCTTGGAGGAGCTGAGCCGCAGCCCGGCAGGTGAATCCTGGGGACCTCCATCCCCGTAGTGCTGGGGGGGCTCAGGATGACCCCAATCCCCCCCCCCCTTCCAGGGCACAGCCCTGAGCTGACAGATGCACTACGCACCGGCCGTATCCCCAACTGCACCGAGGATGAGACGGTGTTGGCACAGCAATTCGACCGCCCCGACCGGAGCCGGCATTGGCGCGAGGGGCTGCTCAAAGCCAGCTTCAACTACCTCCTGCTCGACCCCAGGTAGGGCTGTGCCGCCTCTTGGGTCGCCCCTGAGGCTGGGAACCCGACATCTGGAGGTTCTTTGTGCCCCCGGGGTGGGATTTGCACCCCCAGGACCACGCAGGAGCTCCCATTGCGCTGCCACCGCCTGAGCCCCACGGAGTGCTTCAGGACCTTCGTTGATGCCATCTTCTATGTGGGGAAAGGAACGCGTGCCCGGCCCTACAGCCACCTCGCCGAGGCTGTGACCCAGCACCGCATGGGGACAAGGAAGGTGGGATGGGGTGGGTGTGGGGTGGATCGCATGGGAAAGGAGGAGGCTTTATGGGCACGGGGCTGTCCCACAGGGCTGTCCCAAGGTGCGGCGCATCCTGGAGATCTGGGCAAGTGGGATGGGTGTCATCTCTCTGCACTGCTTCCAGAGCAGCGTGCCGGCTGAGGCGTACACGAGGGAGGGCTGCTTGCTGGAGGCCCTGGGTGAGCGGGGGATGGGGGTTTGTGAGGGCTGGTCCCCCCTCGTGTATGGCAGCAGGGGGATGCAGCCCGTCCTGGCACACATGGAGAGATTCCATGGAGAGAGGGGAGATTCAGGCTGGACATTGGGAAGTATTACTTTTCAGAAAGGGTGGTCAGGCACTGGAATGGACTGCCAAGGCAGGTGGTGGAGTCACCGATCCTTGGGGTGTTCAAGGAAAGGCTGGATGTTGTGTGGAGGGACGTGGTTTAGTGGGAGCTATTGGGAATAGGTGAACGGTTGGACTGGATGAGCTTTTAGGTCTTTTCCGACCTTGGTGATTCTATGATTCTATGAGAGCTGGGGGTCCCTGGATAGCAACACAAGGTTTGGGTACAATGCCCCAAACTGATCTCCTGCGGGGAAAAGATGGGTTGGAGCAGCTGTTAATGGGACCCCATGGGTGCTAACGGGGGGGTTTGTCACTATAGGGACGTAGGTGCTAAGGGGGGACCTCAGGGGCCACAGGCGCTAAAGGGAATCCCAACCTCATGGGGCTGCGGGTGCTAATGGGGACCTTACAGCCATGCGGGTGCTCACGGGGACCCCACGGCAAGCGCGGTGTGGGAGCTGTGTGCGCTGACCCCGCAGGGCTGCGTGCCGTCACCAACCAGAGGAAGGGGAACTGCTATGGCGTGGCAGCCAGCTGGTCCCCGGCACGGCGCCAGCGCCTGGGCGTCCACATGCTGCACAGGGCAATGCGCATCTTCCTGGCCGAGGGCGAGCGGCAGTTGCGGCCAGCCGACATCCAGGCTGGGCGCTGAGCCCCCCTCCAAGGCCTGGAGGCACCCCCTGCTCTTCCCGAGGAGGCGGAGGGCTGCGTGCCTGGTTTTTTGTTTTACGTCGTGAAGGATGACGAGAATGTTTCTATTTATTTTCTCTCTACCCCTAAGTGGTGATGAGTAAATGGCTGCAACAGCTCAGAGCCGCGCCTGCTGTCCGGCTTTGCGTCCCTGTGGTGGAGTTGGACGTGGCTGTAGATACAACACAGCTTTACATCATGGTGCGGGTTCTGCCTTTGTGCAAGCGATGGAGCGAGCGGCGCAGCCTGATGGGTGGGAGCTGCAACCCGTTGCCGATGGCAGCTCCTGGGCTGGGGGTACAGGGGAGCAGAGCCGTGATCTGGGCTTGGTGTGTGGAAATGCATCCGAACCCACGTGTTTGTGGTTAAAATTCTGCAGGGTGGGCATGGGTTGGTGCCAGGAGAGGGGGTGGGGGGTGGGTTACGTATGGCACCTGTCACACGTGGTCCCTGCTGCGCTGGCACCAGCTCCTCTTCATTGCACGGTTTTGGGGGCCCAGGGGGACAAGAAGGGTTTTGCACCCACCCAGGGGACGAGGTTCCATTGGGCAAGCAGGCCTGGCTGTGTCTTTGGTTTAGATGGGGGAAATAAGGGGAGAAAACAAAGAGGGGAGCGGCTCTGCTCTTTGTGGTGAGGGGAGGCTGCAGCCATCCCCATGTGAGGGTCAGGGGCAGGGGAGCAGCCGTGCCCACCCAGGAGCCCCGGCGCAGTGGGACGGGGGCTGAGCAGAAGCCGGAGCTGCAGGACCTGAAGCAGTGGTTTGTTTGGGGACACGACTGCACGAACGGTGGCACTGGGGGAGAGCTCAGCTCTGGCCTCATCGGCCCCCACCACAGCTTAGAAAGGCAAATCCCACTTGGCTTCCCCTAAAGCAATCCCGACTCAGCTCCGTGCCACCAGATGCCAGGGTCACCCCCTGCACGACCCCCTCCGCTCCGGGAGCGGTGTCCCCACAGTGTCCTCGCTCTGCCCCCAAGGGGTCACTGCGTGAAGAATAGAATACTACAACAAAACAGGATGAAGGCGCTCCAGCAGCTGCCACAGGACCGGGTCTGCCGTGTTCCCAACGCCGGCCCTGCACGCCCGTGCCCGGGGGGAGCCTCCGTGCTCCTCTGCCCGCCCGCGGCCCGGGAACAAAACCAGCTCCATGCCTGGCAAGGCCGGCTGCGCCCCGCTGCGCCCACAAACCCCTCCGTGCTCCCCAGCATCTCTCCCATCGGAGCAGCCCGGTCACCGCGTCCCTGCCACCTTATTTCTTCTCTCCTTGCCCGTCCCCAGCTGGCGTTTCGGGCTCCCACAGGACGAATTCGTGGAGCAGGGTGTTCACGGTCTCGGGGCACTCCATCATCACCATGTGGCTGCCCTCGTCGATCACCTTCAGGAAAGCGATCAGCAGGATCTGGAAGGGGAAATGTGTCAGTGCTGGGCCGCCGGCACCAGGAGGAGCCCTCAGCCCCGCTGTTCCCGTACCTCTGCCATGCGCTGGTCCTCCTCCACCGGCACAAACTTGTCGTGCATGCCGTGCACCAGCAGCACGGGCACGGCCAGCTCGGCGTGGTACACCTCGTCACCCTCTGGCCAGTACTGCCCGCTCATCATAGCACGCAGCACGAAGGAGGAGACGTTGAAAGCGTTGCCTTCCTTCAGCAGCTGCTTCTCTTTGGCACCCTGGCGGGCAAAGCCAGCCCTGCGGGATGTGGAAGGGATTAGCATAGCGTGGAGGCACCGGTGCTGTGCCTGCCCGTGCTGGGGATCCCCAGGCTGGCAGCGCACTCAGGGCTGAGCTTGCTGGGGACGGCAGTGGAACTCACTTGAGGAAGCTCCAGGCCAGGCATGGGGACAGGCAGTGCAGCACGCAGGTGGGCATGTTGAAGATGGAGCACAGGCTGGGCTCCAGCGCCGTCGGGCCCCCTCCGTTGATCATGATCACTTTATGCACCAGGTCGGGATACTCGTGGGCTAGGAAGGTGCAGAAGGAGACCCTGCAGGGGCAGACAGCAAAGTGGGAGCTGCAGTGAGGACGGTGAGTGTCAAACACTGCGCATGAAGCCACTGGGATATCGCCAGCACCCACAGAGCAGTGCAGCCACGCCGCAGGCTGCATCCTGCTTGTCACCGATCTAATCCAGCTCCCTCTGCGCTGCTTAGCCCCCATCTAATTGACTTTCTCAGACTTACTCTATTTATAGGCTGAACACCGCCAGCTTCCTTGCTGGCCCATGCTCAGGGTGCTGGGATTAGCTGGGCCCAGAGCTGGGCACCGAGGGGACGGAGGGGATCAGAGCTGGAGATAACGTGAGGGCTGGAAACCCCACACCATCCTCTGCTCCTCAGCCCCGCAGGGCAGGATTTATCCAGCCACAGAGAGGATGGCAATGGGACGAGCGCTCCCCCGTGCCCCTTACCCATACGAGTGCCCTATCAGGATGTTCCTCTTCTTGGCGTAGCGCTTGAAGACGGCCCTCATGTCCTCAGCCAGCGCATAGAAGGTGTAGGCAGCAGCGATCTGCGGGGCTGAGCTGCAGCCGTGGCCGGCCAGGTCAGGAGCCACCACCTCGTAGCCCAGCTTGGTGAAGAAGTCCAGCTGCTCCTTCCAGATATCCAGCGAGCCGCCCACGCCGTGGATGAAGAACAGGACCACGTCACCGTGGGTCCCTTTGCAGCTCGTGATCTGCTTCTTGCAGTCGATGTTGATGACTTTCTTGGGCTTACGCTTCCGACGCTTGCCGGCCGCGGCATCTCGCGCACCAGATCCCGGCGTGCCGCAGCCCGGCGTGGCGGCAGAGCCCTGCACCGGGCCTTGGCCAGCCAGCTCCGACAGCTCCAGCTCCACGGTGCTGCTGGGCTCGGCCGAGCCGTTGGAGCAGTGCAGGATTTCGGAGCGCACGGCGTCCCCCAGGTTCTCGATCACCAGCTGCCCGTTGCGGTACAGCGTGATCCTGCGCTTGCAGTGCACCGTGCCTCTCTCTGCAGCCCTGGGCTCCTCGGGGGGCTCGGCAGGCGGGTGGCTCGGAGCGCTGTGCCGCACCCGCAGGATCCTGCCTGGCTTCACCTCCAGGAAGCTGTAGCCATTGCTGGACTCAACGCTGTCCAGCGGCCCCACGGCGTTGGTCGTTTTGCCCATCAGGCAGCAGAGGAAGCCCTCGGTGATGCTGTTCAGCATTATGCTCCCTGTGTGAGGAAGCAGAAGGAGGTTAGGGCGGCATGCAGCGGGGCGGAGCTGCTGCTGGAGCTGCTTTGGGGTGTCCCCAGTGCTCCCCGTGTGCACAGCCCTCCCCACAGCCCCCCACCTCCCTTCGCGGCTGGTCGGAGGTGGAACCGAGGGAATCAAACGCCCAAGGAAAAGCCCATTGAAAATGACGTTTCTGGCACCAAATGTGGGGCTGAGGGGAGACTCAGCTATGAAAATGCATTATTTATACTGATTAAATGTGTGTGTGTAGCTCCCGTCCAAACCACCACCACAACCAGGGAGAGACGCAAATCGAGGGACTGAGGTTGGGTGTTTTGAGTTAGAGGCATTCCACATAGCGACGCCGAGCACAGGAACCTGGGGGAGAGGCAGATATCCAGCTGGGAGGGTGGGCAGCCCCCCTCCCCACGGTGGGATGGGGGGAGGCCGTGGGGCTGGGGTACCACAGCACAGTCCCTCTGGCCCCAGTGCTGGCCCAGCCCGTGCTGTGTGCTCTTCCAGAGGTGCTCGGCCCGTTTCTGAGCTCAGGGGGCACTTGGAGCACTGGGGACGTTCCCGCCCCCCCCCCCCCCCCCTTCCACCAGGCCGATGCACATTTATTATGGATGCAGCTCTGTACGTTGAATTATTGATGCTGAGGATCTGCTCAGCAAAGCGATTCACAGTGGGGACCGGGGGGATCCAGCAGACCCCCCAGCAACGGCTGCAGTTACAGAGCAGAAACCCCCAGGGATGGAGGGGAAGGAAGAACGCGTTCCCAAGGGGAATTAAACACCACCATCCCCGCTGCAGCCTGCTTAACTCCCCCAGCAACCGCTCAGAGCACACAGCACTGCAGCAGCAATGCTGGCAGCGCACAAGAAGGAATCAGCAAAACAAAACCCGGTCTGGAGGCTGCCTGGGCTCAGGGCTCTGCCTGCAGCTTTGGTAATTGAATGCGTTTGGAGCTCGGCTGCATCCTGCTCAGAGCTCCCTGCAGCCCCAGCGTGCACAGCCTGGTTCCCAGCAGCATTTCTGCATTAAGAGCAAAAGATCTCAAGGCCCTGGATGGGGAAGCTGAGTGCAGCCCTGGCAGGAGTGGAGCTGCCCAGTGGAGCTGCTGGAGCTCCTGGCTGGAAGATCCCTGGTGGCTCTGTGCTGGGATGGAGAACAGCTCTGCTCTTCACCATGTCTTAAGCACCAGCTGGGTGCCAGGCTTGAGCTTTGCCCATTGGTCCCACTGCACTTCTGGAGCAGTAATGCTGGAAGAGCGCAGTCCAAAGCACCAAGAAACAGGGGCAGGTGGAGAACTGAGGAGAGTGGATTTGGTGGCAGGGGCAGAAGTGCAGCTGTGGGATCCAGCTGCTGTCCTGCTGGATCCCATTGCGCTCAGCCTGCAGCACCCAGGCACCCCGGCATGCCTTCCAACTCTGATTTCCATGGAGCCAGGATTTGCCCTGCACCTCCATTTCACAGGGCACTAATGATCTCCGCGTGGATTATAAACAGGACTTCTGGCCAACCTGACTTGACATTGATTAACTTCGCAGGATTAACTCAATTAGTCCATCCTGTTCGTTTCCAGAATTGATTTGCTGGAAGGCTGTTGCACACAGGAGCTCTGCAGGCAGATCCAGGAACCCAGCTCGGCCCCTGGTCTGCTTTGGTGGAGGAGGAGGGGAGCAGCAGGGCAGGCTCTGTCCCTAACAGCAATGCATGGCTTGGAGCTCACAGCCTGAGACCTGGCAGCCCATGCTTTGGCTCTGGAGCTGTGAAAGCCCTGACTCAATCACGGCAGAGAGTGCAGCCCGGTGGGCAATGGAGGGGCAGGAGGGCTCTGCAGCGGGGCGGGGGGCAGAGAGTTGCCCGTCTCCCACCTCCCACCGCTCCGTCTGCCGCAACCAGAAACATCAAGGGACGTTCCCTCCCTCCGCCAGATGAAAGGGCTGCAAATGAAGCCAGATGGATGTGAAGAACTTAGTGAAGATGCTGGTAACCATGGCGATGAGCTGCTCTTCCTCTCTCCCTCCCTCCCCCCCCTCCCTTCATCCCAGCTACCTTCCAGTGCCGCCCCCAGCAGAGTGAGATTTCGGCACCACTTACATAAGGCCAGGCACAACACTGAGTCAGGCACGGCGCCAGGCCAGGAGCGTAGCAGAGCATCCCCAGAGGTTGGGGAGGGGCAGAGCATCACCATGAGCTGCTACCCATGCCTGTGTCACCCCAAAGTCACGGCTTCCCCTGGGAGATCTCTCCTATCGCAGCAGCAGAGGAGCGAAGGATGCTATAGCAGTGATGGAGGGAGGCTGATGTGCTGCCCGGCTCCAGGGCTCCGTGCCCCAAATGTGGGCATTGCTGCAGGATCCTCCAGCTCCAACCTCTGCTCCTCCTCCCTGCTTGCCGACAGCCCAGCTGGCAAAAACAACTTACTGACCTACTTTGGGCTGCGGAGCCTCTGATTTTACACAACTTGATGGCACCATGTCACAGCTGGAGAGAAATTGGACGCGATCCGACGTGCGGAGGGCAGAAAGCCTGACATGGTAGCGTGACAGGCAGCCATGTGGGACTGGCACGGAGCCTGTGGGGCAGGAGGAGGGCAAGGATGCTGCTGCGTTTCTCCATCATGGCACTGAACCTGTCCTTGCCAGAAGCCCTGGTAAACATTTGGCCCCAATTGCTGAGCCAAGAGCATCGCTACTGCAGGAGCTGATGGCTGTGGATGGCTTCTGCTCCCCCTGTGCCACAATGCTCCTGTAGCCCCACTGCTCAGCACCTCCAAGCCCTTCCAGCACACACAGCCCCGGGCCCCCGCAGGGAGCAGCAGGGATTCATATCTGCTAATTCCTCGCAGATCCTCAGAGGAGAGGTGCCAGAGACATGAGGAGGAGCGTGAGATGCGCTGCAGCCAGAATCCGACCTGCCATAATAATTTGTTCAGCTCTAATCCCTTCCCTCCGGGGCTCGCGAGTATTAATGATGACACACGACACTCTTGAGGAATGGGCCAATATCGTTATGCTCTTTCCATCCTCTCCCATTCATTCACTCTGCAAAGGGGAGAAATTACGGCATCGAGAAGCACGAAAAGACAACACCTGTTTAAGCACCAGCCTCAGATAACGCACAAGAAAACGTTGATGCCACTTCGGCCCTGCAAAGTAAACTTCCCTTTGGGGGAACCCAAAACAGCACTCGGGTGGGTGGAAAGGACCTGGGTTTATTGTTACACCCGGCTTGCTTGGCCTGATACAGCAGCAGCAGCTTTATCAGGGCATGCAGGAATAAGGGGTGAGGAACCAACCAGGCAGCCCTGAAACCCTCAGCACGCACAGCCTGAAGGGCCCTGTGTGCAGGGCTGTGCTGAGGGCCCTGCAGGATGCAAATGGCACCGAGTGGAGAAGCAGTGCTGCGGGGAAAGCACCTAGTGCACATAGAGCAGCCTGGAGCCAGGGCTGGCTGCCTGCCACACGTCTCTCTTTAGGAAGGAAGAAGACCTTGAGAAACAAAAGATTATGCAATGCACAGAGGAGTAACCTGCGTCTGACCTCTGTGGCTGACACACTGCCTCGCCCCCCCACCCCCAACCCTCCTGGATTTCCAGGGGGATCCTGCCAGCTCCCACTGCATCTCTGCAAAGCTGCCTCCAGTCCTTCAGCTGCAAATGTCCTACAGCCTCCAGGAGCAGCCTGGAGCATTGCAAGGAGCAGGAAGGAGAAAACCCTGCCCCCCTCCGCCGGGCAGCGATGCATGCAGGTGCCCCCCTCACTCTGCAACCGAAAAGCCGAGCAGATCTGCCACGCACATAGCAACAGCAGGTCTTCCTCCGGAGCCAGCAATCACTGACTGTAATTGCATCACAATGAGAAGCCGTCCCTAAGTTTTATCACCGGGCAGCTTCAACCCCGCGCTCAAAGCGCGCTCATAGCGCAGTGCTGTGACAGCACAAGCAGCCGTGCTGCTCAGCAGCTGCTGCCTCCCCTCGTCTCCCTGCAGCCCCATTCAAAGCCCTTCAGCTCTCAGCCTCCAAGCAGATCCTTTGGCCATTTTGCTCCCCGTGCAGAGCACCTTCCTCCCCTCTGCTGCAGCACATGCCCTGCATCACAGCTCCGAGCACCGCAAAGAGGGACGGAACGGCACGCTCACCTCATTTATTGACAGGGATTGTCGGGAGTCGAGGTTGCAAATGAAAGGCTTGCTCTCGCAGGAGGCAAAGGGAGAGAAGAGGAGATGCGAGGCAGCAGGAGCAGGATGCAGGAGCTGGCGGGCTGCTCAGCTGGTCGGCTCCTCTGATCACATTTTTTTGCCTGTGGTGGGAAGGATGGAGCAGTGCCTTCAGCTCAGCTCATCGGCTTTAGACTGCAATTTCTCCTTCCATCTTCTCCCCATGAGCCCCGGCGGAGCGAGGAGCTTCATACCCGAGCTCTGGGGCTTGGGGGTGCTATTTGTCCTTGTAGTCTACAGCCATAGAAAGCCCCTTAAATCCCTCCTAAGGAGGAGGGCTTTCTGCTTGACAGACAAGAGGACTTGCCAGTCAACGCTGAACCGAGCACACCGAGCTGCCCGCCCATGGAGGCCTGCCAGGAGCAGGGGGGCTGTGCAGGGGCTCTGGGCTTTGGCCCTTGCAGTGGGATGAGTTCTGGCTGCTGCTGGCTGCGGTGTTCCAGCTGAGACGGGGTTTTCCTCCATCAGCACAGTGCCTGTGCCGTGCTGTGACCAGGACTTGCTTTTAATCCCTGCCTTCGTCGCGCAGGAGAAGCCTTTTGCTGTTCTCTCACTGCTGTGGTCATTGTGGCTTCCCACAAGTGCAGCCGTGCCGTGAATGTGTCAGAGCTCAGCGCAGGGAGCACAGGCTCACAGCAGGCAGGGGCTGCGACACAACGACAAACAGAAAACAACAAATGTTTATCATGCATTCATTCATTTATTCGTTTATTTTCACATCCCTGGTTTGGGAGGAGCTGCGTTTATACCCCCTGTATGCGTGGGGCAGGCAGTGAGGGCGGTGAGGTCCGTCCTGGTGGTCCGTGAATCACCGTCAGCCCCCTCCTCCTGTCTGCCATTCATTCCCCTGCTCTGAAAAGGGCTGAAAACGGCATTCAGGAGCAGAACGGGCTGAGGAATCCTGCCTGCAGGTGCACAGTGCATGCGGCGCTGCTCTGTCCTGGGAGCAACCTCAGCAGCACAGTTTGGACAAGCGATAATGCAGCGTTTGGAGGAAGCACCGAACCGGGAGAAACGTTCAGGCCGAACCCCGAGGTCGTCGCCATGGTAACAGCGCTGCGTGCGCTGCCCCCTGCAGGACTACAAATCCCATCACCCCCCGCGGCCGTCACGTTATACGTAATGCCGTTCCCACCCAGCGCGCACGCGCCCTTTTTGCCGCCTGTGATTGGCCAAGCGGAGGGAGCCAATAGGGGGCGGCGTTGTTGGGAGGACGGTGCTGTCAGGCGGAGCAGAGGCGATGGCGGCCGCGCTGGGCCGCCTGTGGGAGCGGGCCGCTGGCGGCAGGTAATAGGCGGGACGGAGCGACGGGACCGAGAGGGGCGGGCAGGAGTCCCTTCTTCGGCGGGGTCGGCCCGCTCACTGCGGCCTTAAGTCCCTTGGTTTACCTCTCTGGAGCCTTCTCCAGACTGAAGAAGCCCAGCTCCCTTAGCCTGTGTTCACAGGGAGGCTGTTCGCACCCTCAGCGCTTTCGTGGCCCTCCTTTGGACCCGCGCAAAAAACTCCACAAACTTCCTGTGCTGGGGGCCCCGGGTCTGGATAAAGCCCTGTAGACAGGTCTTCACAAGGGCAGAACAGGGAGGGCGGTGCCTTCCTGCCCTGCTGCTGTTACCCCCCTGATGATGCAGTTCAGGATGCAGTTGGTTTTCTGGTTTGCAGGTGCGCACTGCTGGCTTATATCCAGCATTTTTGTCCACCGGGACCCTCAAGTGCTTCTCCATAGGGCTTCACACACTGGGTTCTCCCATTGTGTATACATATCTGGAATTGCCCTGACCCAAGTGCAACGTCTTGCACTTAACTTTGTTAAACCTTATTTGGTTCATATTAACCCACTTTGCAAATCTTTATTTATTTGTGTTCATTTATTTATTTTGCTTTTCCAAAGGCTTTTTCTGCTCCAGCAAGTTGCAGTCCATCCCTCCCAGCTCCGGTCAGTATCAGTCTTCACACGTTGCCGGGAGTTGCCTTTCAGCCACCTCTCCTTGAAGCCCACAGGCACCATCCCCTCCTTCACCAGCCCAGTGCCCTCCTGGAGCCATCAGCAGATCCGCACAAAAGCACGTGGGAATGAGTATCAGCCCAACAACCGCAAGCGCAAACGCACCCACGGCTGGATCAAACGCATCAGCACACCGGCTGGGATCGAGGTGATCCTCCGGCGCATGCTGAAAGGCAGGAAGTCTCTGACCCACTGAAGGTTTGGTGTGGGGTGAGCTGGAACAGAGCCCTGGAGCTGCTATGGGTTTGGAGCACCTCATCTTGAGTCCTTGTACTGAGAGAAGGGCTGTGATGGGCAGCAGTGACAGACTGCTCTTACCGTGTTGGAAGCGTGTGGGGAAGTGCACTGAGAGCGGCCTCCAAGGGCTTTGTTTGATGGCTGCTTTCTGCTTTTCTAATTGTGAGGTTGTTGCCACTTGTGTGTACAATTGTAAGATCACCTTGTGAAAACACAAGCATTAATTAAAGCCTAGCAACTTGCGCTGAACTCTCTTCAATAATTGGTGGTGCAGAGATAATAGGGAGAGGAAAGCCAGCTTGTTCACAGGTTTGCATACACTAGGGTGCCTCTGGAGGTGTGGAACAAGGGCTGATGGCAGAGAGAACTTTAGTTTACATTGGCCAAGTCCACAGTGTGTCTGCTCTGCTCTCCTATCTGTGGGAGGCGCTGAGAAGCGTGGAGGCCTTGGCAGCAGCTCTGGGCTAGAAGGGAGAGGGGAGCCCCACAAGTGTGCCTCAGAGCTGTGCTCATCTGCACCAGCCAAGGGAAGCTGCCAACGTTTGTTAGCAAATTACTCGTGAGTGGACTGAGAGCTCTGAGCAGGCCCAGAGGCAGGGCTTGGGATTTGTCTGGTGACGCTGCACGTGCGTTCCCAGCGCTGCTAATGAATTGCTTCGTTGCTAACACGTAATTAACAGTGCTTTCATTAACGAGAGCAGAGGAGAAACGCGACGCGCGGCAGCTCCGCGCGGACTACCGCTCCCGGCATGCCCCGCGGCCGGTGCCACATCCGGGTTCCTCCCACCCTCCTCCGCCTTCCGAGCGGCATTTCCTGCTTCAACCGAATCCCAGACTCCTCAGCGGTGCGCTGACTGACGACTGCGACGCCCAATAGGCGCTGGGCGGGGCGTTGCGCGGGCCAATAGGAGCGCGCGGGGCGGGCGAGCGACGGCAGGCAGAAGCTGTGCGGAGGGGGAGGGGCGGCTCCTCCCGGCTGGCGGCGGCGAAGATGGTAGGTGTGCGACCCCCGCCCGAAATGGCGGCGCCCCCGGCTGAGGGGAGCGCGGCCTGAGGGCCTCTCCGTCTCGCAGGGCCCTCAGCCTCCGGTTTCTCCGCCCACAACCTCGAGTGAGGGCGGCGAAGGCCCATCCTGAGGAGGAGAGAGCCGCACCCTCAGGGCCGGGCCGAGAGGGAGAGCGGGCCCTGCAGCGGGGGCAGCCGAGCCCGGGGCCGAGGGGCTGTGGGAGCCCAAAATGGCGGTGCGGGCGGATCGGCTCGGGGGGCGTTGGGGCGGCCTGGGGGGTTCCTCGGGGCTTGGGGGCTCCAGAAGGGGCGGAGCGCCCGTGGTGAGGGCTGGGGCTGCGTGGAGGGGGCTGTGAAAGAGCTGGGGCGGTGCCGGGGGCCGGAGGGGGGTTTGGGGGTATGTCGGGTGCTGGGCGTTCCGCTGCGTCCGTGCAGGGGATGGGGGTGTGGGGGTTATTGGGGAAGCCCTGAGCGGGTGCTTGGGCTCCTCTCTGCTCCACTCCCTTTGCGTTTTTGGAGGAAGTAAAGGGGCGCTCGGCCGTGTTCGCAGTGATCTCCGTGCACCGAGGTTGAGCACACGGGGGCGACTCCCCGAGCAGCGCTGGCACCTCTCCCCTGGTCTGTGTGTGCACACTGTGCTGGGACAGAGCCCTGCTCTCCGTGTCAGTGCTCTGGACATCATATCCCAGAGCGTGGTAACTGCAGTTCCTTCCAGAAAGCAGAGAATAGGGCACATATGTGGTTTATTATTACCTTCCTGCTTTTAGGTGAGGACTGTCGTCTTCCTAGGGAGCTAAGCAACCCCTTTGTCACCAGAACAGTCTCTACCTCACTTCACAGAACCAGTGTTGGCTTCCAAGGTTGCTTAATCGCATTTGTTGTGGTGTTCTGGGGGCTTTCCCTCTCCCCAAAGGAAATGAGGTGCCTGTTTGGTTCTGGTGCTGGTTTTTCACTTCCACACAGGAGCTGCTTCACTGACTTGGCCTGGACATGCTTTCTTTGGTTGAAGAGTGATAGAAGGCGTGCAGGAGGAACATTTCCTTGTGTGACATTGCGTTGTGATTATTCCTTGGTGTGCCTGGTGTGATAGTTGTGTAGGCACGACCTACTGAGCCTACGTTATCTTGTGCCCTTGGAGCAGATAAGACTCACTGCAGTCCAAATGTTGTCTCATTCTGAATATCCAGAAATGTGGCTCCTGGCAGTTCTCCTGAGGGGACTTTCCTGGTGATCTTTGAGATTGCATCAGCGTGTAACTGTTGAAATGTGCAGGTGTGCAGCAGCGTTACCAGCAGAATAGTCCTGTTACAAACCGGAGTGATGAGTGCTGGGGGTGCTGGCTGACACCTGGGCTGGAGTAATGTCCTTTTGTTGCTCAGTTGCCCTGGTGTTTCTGTTGTTTTCTGGTTTAGCAGGCCTGGGAGGAAAGGGAGCGTTGCTGGGGGCTGGAGTTGTAACCCCAAGTGGCTGTGAAGAGGGAGAGTGGTGGCTGAGAGCCCGTGCTCAGGGCTGTGCCTGTTGGAGTTGAGGTCCCCAAGTGCAGTGTGTGCATGGCAGCCTGCCTGCTTGCAAGGGGCTTAACTGGTGTGTGTCTTGCTTCAGTCGCTTAGAGAGAGGGGGGAAAAAACCCACCAGAGCAGCACGTTCTCCATTTAAAATGCATTTTGGCTGATCGTTTTAATAACATTTTGCATTTTTGCAGCTCAGAGAGGTAGGCTGTCGTGCAGCCCTGGCAATGCAAAGCAGTGAAGGCAAAGGGAAGCAGCCTCCATCACTGCTGGAGGGAGCCAGGCAAGCAGGAGCAGTTTGCGTGCGGCTGTTTGAATCCAAGTCCCTTATTTTAGCTAAAAGTTGAGGTACAGGAAGCGTTGAATGTGGAAACTAAAACGTTGGTAGAGTTCTTTTCAAGAACAAGAGTATGAATAATCTCTTCTGGTTTGGCTAATTATAGCTCTTTGTTTTGAGTTAGGGATGTGGTGTTAATAAAAATAATAGCTTCTATTGAAATGAAAACAACGCCTTCCGACCCCGCAGCTTTGTGGCAGCGGCGTCCATTTATTTGTCTCCTCTCACACGGATGTTACACGACTTCTCATCTCCTGCTTTTCTGCCCTTTATAAGCAGGGGGATGTCTGTGCAGGATCGGCATCCCTCCGTGTGGGGTTCGGAGTCTCTGAGTGCTGTGGCAGCGCAGGCAGCCGAGCAGGGACATAGGGGCCCATCTGGGGCCTTTCCTCCTTGCTCCGCTGCCTCCTGCGTTTATTGCCCGTCTTCTGCCTCCTTTAATGCTTGCTGAGCACCTTCTTTTGTAGTTTCGATGCAGAAGGGCTGTGATCCTTCCCTTCATGCTTGGGCTGTGCTGATAGCGCCTGATAAGGGTTGGGCTTTTGCAGCCACGTGGGCTTTTGGTGCTTTGTGAAATCAGCCTTGGCCTATGACAAAGAATGTTCCCTGCGAAAGCAAAAGAGCAGCTGGTCGCTGTGGTGTCACAGCCGGGCCTTTCAGTCCTGGTGCCGTTTCTCACGTGCTGGTTGGTGCTGCTGGATTGCTCCGGGCTGTGCTGCCTTCCCTCCGAACCCAGCCCCCCATAGGTGCTGCTTTGCAGCCTGCGTGCCTGCAGGGCTTTGGTCAGCAGCTTAATAACTGAGTTCTTGAGCTCCTTGAATACAAGGAGCCAAATGCAGAAGCAGAGGATTTGCTTCCTTTACAAAAGCAGCCTCGGGTTTTTGTTTCAGTATCTGAGAGCTCTGGACTTGCTTCCCAATCCTGCAGCCATTTATCTTAATGAGTCAGCAGCTCCTTTGTGAGTCAGCACAAAGCAAACAGCGGCTGGAATATCACTCTTCCTTTCCTCACCTCCTCCTTTCTTTGCCTTCTGTGTCTTTTTTAGGCGGATTTTTTGAAAGGATTACCAGTCTACAACAAAAGCAACTTCAGCAGATTCCACGCGGACTCTGTATGTAAAGCATCAGTAAGTATTGCCTGTCAGTCCTCAAATCCTGGTGCTTGGGGAGGGTTTTCAAATGAGTCTATGGCCAAATCAATTTGAAACGAGCGTTTTGTTTCCTAAAACAAACAACAAAAAAAAGCAACAGAAAAACCCATGTGTGCCTGCAGTTGGTGAGCTGAGATTGGCAAGACAAACTTCCTGCTTGCTCTGCATCCTCAACGTCAGCCAAACCACATCTGTGGCGCTGCCTTTGTGTGCGAATTCTTCAGCGATAGACTTAGGCTTTTAGTCTTATGCCTTTAGCCTTCCCCTAAAACTTCTACAAGCAAAAATCTGTTCAGCTGGCACATGAAGGCACGTGAGAGGTTGAGCTTCTTCATGTTCCTTAGGGCGTTCTGTAAGAAGGGGCCGGGTGGGATGTGAGGTTTGCAGCCTGCGTTTCTGGTGGCCTCGTGGTTGGGTTGGCTGTGCTTCAGTTAGAAATCACCTTCTCACCGTCTTTGTTCTGCAACTGTTCTGATTCCTCTATAGAACAGAAGACCGTCGGTGTATCTTCCCACGAGAGAATACCCGTCTGAACAAAGTAGGTCTGCCCCACTGACAGCTGGGGGGCTTTTGGGGGTGGGTTTTGACTTAGCATTTATTGTTCTGACATTAAGAATATGCCGCTCAAAATCTCGCTTGCTTTGGGCTTCAGATCCAGTGATGTTCTGGAAGTGCTGCAGCAGCAATTAGCTGCGTGTGCCTGGCTGTGCCTTTCAGTGCTTCTCATCTGAAGGCATTCAGTGATTGCTGTTCCTAAACACCCTCCTTTGATATAAAGGGCCACCCTTAGTATGTGGAACCATGTCGTCTTACTGCACGGTTTAAAAAGTTGTCTTTAAAATGACCTCAGCTCGTTTCTCTCTTTCTTTGGCAGTTATAGTAACAGAAAAGACAAATATACTTTTGCGTTATTTACACCAGCAGTGGGACAAAAAGGTATGGCTGTGTTTCCTTCGTGTCTTCGTTTGCTGACTGCGACTGATAGAGCTGAATATTGATGGCCATCAGGATATTGATATCATTACAGGGAGGGATTCAGCCCTTGTGGCTGTACTTCAGCAAAAGGAGGCTGTGTCTGTGCTGCTCAATGTGGCTTCTTTTATTCCCTTTCGGGCATTAATTCAGTGCTTAGTCTAGAACCTGGCAGACTTCAGTTATGTTTCCCACTTTAGTGCAGGCTCCCTCTGTGGCCCTTACAAATTGGTCTCCCTGTGCCTCAGCTGTGTGCTCTGCAGCTGGAATGGAGCTCCTCTCCTCTCCCAGGACTGTGAGGAGATGGATGAGCTCGTGCAGAGCACGGCTGCACTGACGAGGCTGTGTAAGTACCTCGGTTATGAAATCACAGCTCCCCTATGAGGGCTGCAGCCCCAGCTGGCGCTGAAGGCCTGGCAGTGCACAGAACCAAGGCTGCGACTGGGAGCGGAGCTGTCAGAGCTGGGAGTGTGATGGTGAGAGAGGCAGCACTGGGGATCCTCAGAGCTGAAAGGGAAGCGTCTGTGCGTGGCAGGAGCTGTTGGAGGGCTTGTTGAGTTCAGGGACTGACCCAGAGAAGCAGGGAGGAGAACCCTGCCGAGTCCTCAGCGTGTGTTGGTGTCTGTCAGGCCATCACAGTGCTGTCTGCCATTCTAGAACCGTGCCAACCAAAAGCTTGTTCTCCCAACCCTTTGGAGAGTTTCACTCTCACCTTCTTTGTCCAAACAGAATGCAGCAAAGAAGAGAGATCAAGAGCAAGTGGAAATAGAAGGTGAGAACTCGGCGCCGCCACGAAAAATCGCTCGGACAGACAGCCAGGAAATGAACGAGGACACTTAAACCCGCGGGCCTCTCCTCTTCTACTTTGCAGGCGCTTCCCGTTTTGTCTCAAAGTGTGTCAGTTTTGCCCCTTGCCCCCATCTCTCACCCCTCCACTATGCAGCCCAAACCACTTCTGACTTCATAGGAGCCAATGTATTTATTTTTTTTTTTCTCCTTTTTTTTTTTTTTTTTTTTTGTTTTTTTTTTTTTTTAATTTATGCCGTAAAACTTGCGGAGCAAATGGTGGAACAACCCAGTAATGTAGTGTAACCTTAGTTCCTCCTTTCTAACAACAAACGCTGTCACTTTAACAGGTTTTGTTCAATCTGTTACCTAACCAACCAGCTCTAGCTGTGGAAGCCTGGGGAGGAGATGGGGGTTGCTGCAGAACCCCACAGTGGTGCGGGCTTTCAGATTCATGCACCCACTGACATTAGTGGTGAACTCTTTGGATGGGCCCAGTCCAGCCAGCAGTGTGGGGCCTTGCTGTTTTTCTCCAAGATTCTGAAATTGGCACTGCACTTAGGGGGGAAAAAAACCCAATAATCGTCACGGATGTCATTTAGGATTATGTTGATCTTAGCAAACGTGTTGTCAACTTGGTCTATCAGTTGTATTTTGGTCTGTTCTGTAAGGGCCATGGTCATTTAGCTCATGCATAGGTGGTCATGGAGAATTCAAGTGAAAGGTGTGTTGCTTGTGTTGCTCTTAAATTCTAACAGTCTCTTGGTCTTGGACAGACTGATATGTGCAACTTCTCCGTTGGAATAAATGGATGCTTTTATCCTATTCTGAGTATTTGATCAGCAGTGTATTTGAGCAGCAGCTGATGGATGCGGTGAGGTTGGCACTTGCAAGCAGCGCTTGGTGGCCGAGTCTGGGAGCACCTCAGCATCTCCATCTGGTTCTGCCTCTGCTGCTGGCTCTGACTGATGGTACGCTGTGCTTTTGGTGATATCAGCCCCTCTGGAATGGAGTCCAGGACTTAGAGTTGATCCAAATGTGAGCTTCCGTGGTCTGTGCTTCAGGCCAATCTCTTTGGGACTGTGACAGCTCAGTGCCTGTTACCTGAACCCTCACTGACTTCAGTAAGAGCAGAAATGGAGCCCCCGAGTCACCTAGGTGGATCCAGAGTTCAGAGACCAAAAGGAAACGACCACCGCCACCCGAAGGGGACAGGAGGTGTAGCGTAGTAACGATGTCTTGTCTGCTTTCACGTAAGGAGCTGACTTCACACTGTGTTAGTTTAAATCAGCACGTTTATAACTGTGTTTTTTTCCTCGTTCACGAATCCAAAACGCCGAGGAGGAGGTCCTGGATCAACCCAGCGCTGCGCGGCCGCGAGCTCGGAGGACAGGGCTTCTGTTCCCCTTCCCCACCACATCCTTTGCCACCAGCAGACGCCGTGTGGTCGGGTGTGAGGCAAAGGGAGCACGGAGGGAAATGCTGTTGCTTTGTGACTGGGCGTTGCGAGGCAGAGCCTTGGGGAGAGCAGGGCACAGCTCTCACGGCTGCGTCTTTAAATGCGTGCTGGGCACCAAGTGAATGGATTTAGCGTGAAGCTAACACCGAGTAGCTTAGGTTAGATCTCTGTCCTGCCTTTTTGCTGTGGGAGTAACCTCCACGTTGCTGGAATGTTGCTGAAAATGCCAACCGTGTTGGTGAAGATGATGAACGCTCAGAATTCCTTGAGGTTTACTGGCAGCGGTGAGAAGATGTCCCAGAGTTTTGCTGTCAAAAAGTGCTTCTGTGCAAAGGGCAGGATGCTGATGGAAGGTGCTGCCTTAGCATCTGCTCTCCCAGGGATCATCTGAAGCTGAGACTGGAGAATCCTCTGAAGAGCTGTGAGATACCAAAAGAGGAAACGGACGTGCAGCTGGTGGTAAAGTGTGACCAATTCACGTGTTGGGCAAGTTGGAGAGCTGCAGCCTTGCAGGCTCGTGTTTGTACAGTGCTTTAAAGTTGTAAAATGCTGTATACTTGGTTGGTATGGCAAGGTTTGGGCTTTGCTGACTTCTCTGCTAGACAGAGTGATGTACTATTAAAGAGAGTTGGCACTTCTTTCCTGTTGTAAACCCCCTTTGTTCCCTCCGTGTCTTTAAAAATGATCTGGTTGCTCACTGGAGCCTTTGCAGTCTTGCAGATATTTTTAAGAGGTGGAAGAAAGTTGCCTTTTTAAACTAGTTCTGATGTGATGGAGAAAGTAATCTTCAAAGAGGTGTGAACTGAAGTATCAAACTTGTCTTTTTTTCTTTCCTGCCCATTTCTGGTTGTGTACAAGCAGTGTGGATTTCTAATAATCACAGTCAGTCTGCTTCCATCTGAGCCAAAGCAAGAGCTCGCTTCTTTCCTTCCTCCTCCAGCCTGCTGTCTGTGCTGCTGCCTCAAGCAAGCTGTCCTCAGGCTGTTGCACTTTGACTCTGTCTGTGTCCTACATGGTAAGTGTCTCGGGTTGGAGTGTTGCATGGAAGGTCATTGCCTAACTGTGACTTCCTGGTGCCTTAGTGCATTGAAAACAACAACAACAAAAAGAAAAAGAGAACAAAAAAATCCCTGCCTTTCTTGCTGAGCGCACTGTTTGTACAGTACCTGGTGATTCTGATTCTCTTGTTACAAGGTGACTGAAATTTAGTGACCCTCAGGGGTTGTTTGTATGTCTGCGTAGTGGTAGTTTTACTGTTTCTCTTATGATGTGTACTAAAGGTTTGGCTTTTGTAATGAAAACTTGAGATACTTGTCAGAGGCCAGAATATGATGATTTTGTTTTAGTTGAAGAGGGGATCTTTGCTCACTGATCAAAGCAGCAGAGCTGCTTCCTTATGCAAGGGGAAGGCAGCAGGGCGCTCCTGGCAGCTGAGGTGTGCGCTGGTGAGTGTGGGGTGTCAAAAAATCAGCCTTGGTGTTCAACGTGTAGCCACACCAGTGACTGGTGTAGGGAAACCAACCTGCTGCTGAGGCTAAATCCTGGCATCCTATGAACGCTTTTCTTCAGGAGAGATGGAGTCAAAATAAAACCCTCCTGACACGTCAGTTGGAGGCGTTGGAAGGAAGGCTTGACTAACGCGGTCTGTTCTGCAGGTGGTTCCTGCTGTTTGTGGATCACTGCTCTGTGTTGTCTGAGTGTTCAGTTTGGTACAGGTAGCACGGTCAGCTTCCAGCCACGTCCTCCCTTCTGTCCTTGGAGGTTTTTCCAGGCCCTCCACCACCTGCTGTGCCCCCACACGCTGCTGGCCGTGCTTGGAGCAGAGGAATGGAGGTGCTCCAGTGGTGGGTGTTCCTCTGAGGCAGATGTTCAGCATGCTGGGTGTTAGTCTCCACTTTAGCTTTCACTCTGTACCAGATAGCTAAAGCAGGTATAACTTCAAAGCTTGATTTTTTGCTGAGCTCTTTGTCTCTGCCCTTAATGGCACAGGAGTCTTGGGTTTGATTTCTGTTTGTTAAGCTGCAGCCATCAGCTGTACTGCCACTTCCCATTTCCTGCCTTGTTTGCTTACCACTGGCTTCATTTTTTTGAAGATCTTATTTTTCAGAAGGACCTGCATGTCTCTGATAGGAAACCTAGTTTTCCTGCTTTGCTGACGTCAGCCTGGCAGCAGGGGAGTTGTGTGTGACCAGCGGGGTTGCAGCTGATCTCTATCCGTGCCACATTTTATCTGATTTTTCTGCTGTCTAACAAAAGAGGGGGAAATCCTTTCCGTTAAAGGAGAGAGGGTTGAGTTTACCTGGGAGCAGCACAGGGTGTTTTTGGGAGCAAAGCAGAGGATGCCCAGAAGGAGATATTGCATCACAGCCTTGGTTCAGCGCAGGCTGACCTTTGTGCCGTGCTGCCTGTGCTTCGGGTTTCTCTTCTGCTTCCCAAACAACTGTGCAATTACTGGAAAGACAGATCTTCTGTCGATTGAAAAGGCTGAACCTGGGCTGCAGGGAAGGAATTCTTGTTTTCTTCTTTGTAAGTGAAGCGAGGGAATGAAACGCCAGCTTCCAGCCCGCTAACAATGAGACTCTGTTCTTAAAGGCAGAACTTCCCTCGCGCTCCCCAGGCGCGATGAACCGAGGCTCCCTGTGGGCGTGCTTTGAGAATGAGCTTGCTCTAGGGATAGGTTCAAGAAGCCTTACAGGAGCTGCCGATGCTTTCTGAGGAGCTGAGTGGCTTCAGGCCCTTGTGCTGTTCAGGTTTTACCCACGGGAGCCTTGGGGAGGCTGGGGTGAGGTGGGAGGGCTGCACTGACCCTCCAGCAGGCCGGGTGCTGCCGGGCAGCAGTGCTCACTGCCAGGGTTCTGCCCTGCCTTCCCTTCCACCATCCAGTCCTCCACGTGGAGGCAAGAAGCAGCCCCAGCCCTCCAGGAAAGCAAAGCTGCCTTTTCATTTCCTCATGCCACCAAAGCCAACTTCAAACACATCTCACTGCTACCAGCTCCATAAACACCGCTTGTCCAGGTTAGCTCTTGGTGAATTGCCATGCAGGCACTGCTGGAATCTCCTGCTGCACACACACACAGTGCTTTGAGTTGAGAAGGGCACGGTGCTGACTAATATAAACTGGTCGGATATGGATGTGGGGGAGCGTGGGGAAGGAGCGTGGGGAGGGAGCGTGCTCCTTGCTGGTGGCTCTCAGCTACAGGAGATGACTAATCCTCACTGTAAGGAACAGCTTGAGGTCTGCATGGATGGGCAGAGCTGAGTCACTGTGCTGCAGCGGCGCCGGCTTCCAAACGCAGTCATTTCTTATTAATCAGTGCACGGTGTGCAGCTCGCAGCCTCGCAGGGTATTTTTAGTGGAAGCGGCCGTCCTTGGCCAGCCGTGCAGCGGGACGGAGCGCCTCAGCTCACTGCTTCCTACCATCCCCAGCTGCTTTCTGCTCCGTGCTGCTTTTGGCAGGGCAGCGTTCAGCTTGTGAGCCTGTGTTCCTTTCCACCCTCAAACTTTCCTCCTTTGCAAAAAATATCGTCTGGTGGGTCTGGGAGAAGGGAGGTTTTCCTGCCAGCTGCGTGTTGGCAGAAGGGCTGCCGTCGTGGAGCGACTGTAAATCCGCCGTTAGTCAGATGTCAGGGCTGTTGTTTGATTTCTTTCTTTCTTTTTCTTTTTTCTTTCTTTTTTTTTGCATTTATTTTTAAACTATTCCATGTTTGATACCTTGTACAATAAATCTGCAGAATTTAGAGGACTGCCAAGTTCTTCATTCTTCCTCTGCCCATTCCACTGCTGGCCCCTTCCACCCCGGGCTGGCAGCACCAGGACTCACTCCCCAAGCACAGATCTGGTAGGAAAGTAACTTAGCACGCACCTCAAGTTTGTTGAAATATACTTTTATTGCATTTCTGCAGGTTTTACAAAAATATGACAATAAATTAAAAAGAAATAAATAACCCCCCCTTCATTTCTTTCAGTTGCCAAAGAAGTAGCACGCAGCAAGGGGAAAAAACAAAGAAACAGTTCCCTCCTTTGTACAGTAACTGCCCAGAAGTCAGATAGCAGACAGGCGGCTGCTGAAGAAGTGTTTTGTATAGAGAAACGTTGAGAAGTGCCCTGGATGCAGGGCCCTGTCCTCTGCTGAACGGAGCAGGAGTGGGTCGTGCCAGGACTGTTACTGCCACGAGGGAAACGGGGCAAACAAAACTCAGTTTAAGAGCAGCGCGTTTTAACTGAGAGCTGAGCGAGATGAGGCCAAGCTGGGAGGAAGCAGAGCAAACGAAATGGTGAGTAGGGAAATTGGGGGGTGGGGGGGCTCTGCACCCCCTGGCATCCAGGGCACAGCAGCAGTGGGGTCACCGGTACCCCAGCTCTGTGCTCTGGGTGCTGCCCTGCCAAGCGCTGCTGCCCGTCCTGCACCCTGTTTGCCTGTTCCCCTTCTCCCCTGCTCTCCCTCTGTGGGGGCAGCAGGGAGGGGGAAATTGATGTGGTGCCTGGTTCTGTGTGGTGTGGGGGGGCTGCTCTGCTCTCTGTGCCTCTCGGGGCTTGGCACGGGGAGCACAGCAGTGTGGCACAGCCCTGGCCATGCTGCGCAGTGAGCGGAGCGCAGAGCCTCGGTGCTGCCCCAGCCTTATTGCTGTATTGATGGCTTGATTCAGAGATGAAAGGAAGAAACACACCATGTTGAGGGGAGATGGGGGGGGGAACAACCTGACGTTTCTGCAGCCCAGGCCTTGGGCCAGGCACAGTGATGGGGCGGCTGCCCCATAGCCCTCCTTTCCCCCTGTTTGCTTTGGAGATGGTGGGTGGCTCGGTGGGGGCATTGAGCAGGGCTGAGGTCAAGGAGCTGCCCTTTCCCACGCCCTTAAGCGAAGCAGCACCCAGCAGAGCCACGGGCAGCCGCTTCCCCTCTGGGCTGGGGGCTGCCAAAGCACTAACACTACACCCAGCGAATCGTCCAGCTCGCCAGAAGCAAAGCTGCTCCCACCCCCCCCCATCACGTGCCCCCACCCTCCCACCCCATCCTCCTGCCAGGCTCCAGCGTGCGTCCGTGCGCGAGTGCCTTATTGCAAAGTAATTCCACAAAATAGGAAAGCAGAGAGGGCGAGGGAGCGTTGCAGGTCCAGGGCGCTCCCAGCTCTCATCTCCGCCGCCTGCAGCCATTGCATGAAAAATGGCAGAGTCGCTCGCATTGGGTTTTGTTTGGGTTTTAGTGCAAGAAATGCTCCCCGTGCCTGGGGGGCGCAGCAGCCAGTGCTTGCTGCTCACCCCCTCCCTCCCGGCCGTTTCTGGGCAGCTCACTGCCCCGTGGTGCAGCAGGATGCAGCCGTGGCTGCAGGCACGGGTGAACGGGGCTCCTCACTGCCGTCCGTCCCTCTGGAGTGGAGCTGTGGCCCCGAGCTGCACCCCTTGGAGCTCTGCGGGTCTGGGGACACCAAATCCTCCTTGGATGACCTCCTGGAGACGGCGGGCACGGAGCATTGCCCGTTGGTGGTGCAGGACAGGATGCTCCATCCCAGGGCACCGCCGGGCCTCCATGGGGTTGTGATGGGGTCCCAGCAGAGGGGCTGCGATGGAGGGGCCGGGATGGGGCCGGCGTGCCTGGCTCAGAGTCTGTAACCCCCGCTCTCCTCCTCTGCTCGTGGCTCCGGCTCCTCGCGGGCTCCATCCTCTGGAGCCCCATTGAGGTGGGACTTGCTGGGGCCCGGCCGCTCACCCCCATCTGCAGAGGGGCCAGCACGGGGCTGGGGGGAGGCGGTGGCCCCGTTGCCGCCGGTCCCTTCGGACTTGCCGAAGTTGAAGAGCTTGCCGGGGTTGAATGGCTTGGTGGGCGACTGCACCTTTTCGGTGGCCGCGTCCCTCTTGGTTTCGGGGGATTTCAGGAACTTGAAGCTGAGGAAGCCGGGGAGTTTGTTATCGCTGCTGGTGGGGGACTGGGGGGACCTGGCGGCCGTGCTGCCTGCCCCGGTCCCCCCGGAGAGGAATTTGCCCTGCAGAGGGATGATCTGCTTCAGCTTCATGACGTTATTGGTGGCCAGCAGCGAGCTGGGCCGCTTGGGCTTGTCGGAGCCGTGCGCGGAGGACCCCCCGGAGCCCTTCCCTTTGCTCTGGCTCTTCTCGTGGGCCGGGTCCTGCCCGGCTGCCTCGGCCTTGGCCTCGTCGCGGTTGGCCTCGCGCTCCTTGCGCGCCTGGTACTCGGCGTGCCGCTGCCGCTCCTCCTCCTCCCGCTTGCGCCGCTGCTGCTGCTGGAAGTGGTGCTGGGCCTGGCGCTCGTGCTTCTGCCGGCGGGAGCGCGTCGGGATGGGGACGCCGTGGGGACGGCCCGCGTGTCCCCATCGCCCCCCGTGACACCTACCTTGAAGGCCTCGCGGCGCTGGTACTCCAGCTTGGCCATCTCCTCGGCCACCCACGCGGGGATGTCGGGGATGGCCACTTGGATGACGTACTTCAGCAGCAGGGCGAAGTGCTGCGGGGATACGGGGGGAACGCTGAGCACCCCGATGCCCCCTCCCCAAATGGGAGATTCTGCGTTGGCACCGCCCTACCTCCAGCACCACCACCGAGATGATGGCTCCCTCGGGGCTGAGCCAAGGGAAGAGCCGCTGCAGCTGCCCGCACTGTGCGATCAGGTAGCAGTTGACCACGATGGCCAACACGCCCATGGCCTCCATCACCTTCTGTAAGAGGCACAGCACCGGTGATAAGCGTGAACTCTGTGATCACGCCGGCCCCCTGCGGCCCCCGACCCACCTGCCACTGCCCGATGCTCTCCACCCTCTGCCCGAAGGGTCGCTGCAGCCCCGTGCACAGTTTGAAAGCATCGCTGCGAATCTCGATGATGTTGTTGACCAGCGCGCACATGGCGGCCAATGGGAAGGCAGAGGAGAAGAGCACCACGTAGCCAAACTGGATGAACATCTCCTGGTAGTCCTGGAAGGTGTCCTGGCAGGAGGAGGAGGAGATTCCAGACAGGGCTGGATGGGAAACCCGGTCTGGTGGGGGGCACCCATCCCATGGCAGGCAGTCAAGTGGACGATGTTGAAGGACCCTTCCAGCCTACCTTTCTGTAGTCCTGTGATCTTAATGGTCCCTTCCAACCCACCCAATCCGTGGTTCTGTGGTCCTTAAAGACCCTTCCAGCCCAACAATTCCACGGTTCTATGATCTTTAAGGACCCTTCCAACCCAACCCTTCTGTGGTCCTATGAGGGGCAGCACATAGCAGTGGCACCAGGACGCTCCGTGCTGCTCCGCACCGTGCTGACCACTCACCTCGTACTTCTTCATGCAGCTCTCCACCTCTGCCTGCGTCAGCTGTGTCGAGTAGTCCTCCTCGGGCGGATCGATCCATGACGCCCGGTTCTGCCTGCGCCCATCTTCCTCACCCTCGTCTTCCTCCCTCCTCCTCCTCGTGACCCGTGGGCCTGTGGCCGGCACCGCTGCTTTGGCCGGGCTGCCCGAGGGGCCTTCAGCATCCTCCTCATCATCAGCCAGCTCGAAGACGGAGGCGGGGTCCATGCCCTTCTCCACCATGGTGGGGCTGCCCTCCTCCAGGAAGCTCTCCTCCTCGGTGCCGCAGGGCTCGGTGCCGCGCCGCTCCGCCTTCTCGATGAAGCTCACCTTCTTCAGCTTCAGCCCACAGTCCAGCGCGCTCTCATCCTCCGAATCCGACTCCCGACGCTCTTCCTCCTCCTCCTCCTCCTCGGGCACCCCACAACCCCCATTCAGACACTTCTTCTCCCCCCGCGGCCCCTCGTGTGCTGCTCCGGCAGCCGGGGCTGCGCGGGGTTGGGCGAGCAGGCGAAGGATGGTGTGGGACAGCTCACGGAGGTTGCGCAGGCTGAGCTCCCCCCGGCGCAGGCGGCGGTACAGGTGGGGCTGCGACACCTCCTTGACGTTCTGCAGGAACTGCCGCGTGATGAGCAGCGTGGCCAGCATCTGCGGGGACACCGCTGTCACCGGGGGGTGCCACCACCCCCACATCCCCCCCCCGACCCCATCCCCGCGGCATCCCGGCAGGGCAGGGCACCCATCCCTGCCGTCCCCTTGGTGTCACCTCAACGTCACCGAGGTGGGGATGGGAGCCCCAGGGCTGGGGTCGAGGGGGGGTTCACGGCAGCATGCACGACCCCCGCCCTCCCCGCTCCTACTTTGGATACTCCCAGTCTCCAGCAAAAGCCCAGGAGGCCCTTAAGGAAGATGAGGGAGAGGTGGAGGTGGAGGAGGATGAAGGGGAGGAGCGCCTCTTTGAGCTGGCGCACGAGGCTTTGGGACAGAGAGAAGATGAGCAGGAGCTGCGGAAGGGACAGACGGACGGACGGACGGACAGACACAGACAGAGAGACGTCGTCAGCGGCCGCTCGGCCCCAGTGTGGCATGCGGGGACCTGGGGGGGTAGCGGGGGGGGGACGGGACGCGGGCGCTGCTGGCTGGGGGACGTCCGTCTGTGTGCACCCGGGTGGGACGGGGGGGGTCCTCGCTGCCCCCACGCGGCCCCTCACCTCCTTCAGCCGTTCCATGTCTTTGAGGTAGAAACCAATGTAGAAAAGACTTAGGTATGAATTTACAAACTGAAACTGTGGGATACAAGTGGGGGGAGGAGGGGGTTAATGTGGGGATGGGGGACACCAAGACCCCTCCCCACCCCCTGTCTGTCGTCCTCCCCCCCCCCCCTTACCAGGACGATTTTGATGATGAGGTGTTTCTCGTAGGCACTCTGCAGGCGGTAGTTTTCTGCAAAGCCAAAGGGTTTGCGGTCAGGGGGTCCCCTGCTGCTGCCCCCCCCTCCCACCCCCCGCCCCCCCAGCCCCACGCACCCATATCATTCAGCCAGTAGGCAATCTTCTTGTAAACCTCGTCGCAGGTCGTGACAATGACGGCCAGCACGATTTTGGGCAGGAAGCGGAGGATGCGGGGCAGCTCCTTGACACTCAGCACGAGCTCCTGTGGGAATAAAGTCACCGGGGGGGGGGGGGGGGGTGGCGGTGGGGCTGTGACCCCCCCCCAAGTGTGACAACACAGCCCAGGCCCCACCTGAAGCTGGAAGCAGCCCAGCATGATGAGGAAGACGAAGGAGAGGCAGGCGAGGCAGACGGGCAGGCTGACCAGGCACTGGAACAGCAGCCGCTTCCAGGGCGGGTAGTAGAACTCCTCGGCGCTGGTCACAGGGCTGATCCTCTTCACCCCCTAACAGGAGGCACAGCGCTGTGACGCCACTCGTCGTGGGGACCCCCACCCCAGGGCCAAGGAACCCCCCTCTGCCCCCCTCCACTCACTCTGAATTGGGGCCTGGGCTCCTCGATGGACTCTGCTGGGGTGTCCAGCGTCCCCCACTTGTAGGCAAACTCTGCCCCACGGCGCTTCCACTCCTCCAGGAAGAGCGTGGCCCAGACGACGTTGAAGATGGCAAACACCACACAGCAGATGTCCTGGCTGGTCTAAGGGGGGACAGCAGCGGGGTCACTCCCCTCCCACCGCCCCGCAGCCAAGGTCCTGGGGGACCAGGGGTCCTGGGGGCTACGATTGCAGTGCTGAGCGTTGGGATGCCGTGCAGCAGATGATGGGACTGGGAGCAGCTCTGCTGATGGGCCCCCCAGCCCCCAAAATGTCGGGGTTGGCTCCATCTCCTGCCCCTCCACACCTGGTCGCTCTCGGTGAAAGTGTAGAGGATGGAGCCGAACACAGCAGGGTACACCATGGCCGAGGTGTAGAAGCCGAGCCAGGCGAAGTACATGGCGATCTTCACCCCAAAGTAGTCACAGATCTCATCTGTACGGACCGAGGGGACGTGAGTGGGACCGGGACCCCCGGAGCCCCCATTTCCCCTCCTCCCAGGGCCTCACCGAGTGGCTGCGCCTCGCAGATCGCCTGCACCCACGACTTCATCAGCCGTTTGAGGATCCTCTGCTCGTGCAGTGGGAAGACCTGCTGGATGACGCCGCGGGCCGCCAGCTCCGGGACTGCAGCACGGGTGGGAGGTGAAGCTGGGACACTGCTGTCCCCCCCCCAGCATGGAGCAGGTTGGGACAAAGGGACAGCAGGGAGGGGGGGCTCGGTGCCACGCGTGAACCCCGTGTCTAACCCTGGTGACGGCACCGCGCGCCTGCTGTGCCCGTGTTCATCCCCGTGTGCTGCAGGAATGGGGACACCAGCGGGGACAGGAACCCTCTGGGGACAGCAGGATGTGCTGCCATGGCACAGCAGGGCTGCAGGGAGGTGGGTGGGCAGGGGGAGCCGTGCGGTGCCATACTCACTGATGGGCTGTCCCTCCAGGAAGTGGATGTTGTGCAGTGCTTCGCCCTGCTTGGCCCGCAGGTTCTCCAGCCAATACCTGATGATGTTTTGCCGTTCCTGCGGCACCGTAGAGGGGTGAGCTTTGGGGACACGGTCCCTCTGCCTGAACCCCAAATGTGACACCCGTGTCCCCCCTCTGCCTTGGCCTGTCCACCCCCAGACCCGTTTTGTCCCCAGCACGGGAAGATCTCAGTCCCCTTCTCCATCTGGAGAGGGGGGATGACCCATCTTCTCCCTGTGTCCCCACATCCCTACCCAGGACCCTCATCCCACCTGAGAGGTGAAGAAGTAAAGCTCATTCTCGATGTTCTCATAGATGTAATCCTCCTCGCAGGAGAAGCTCCTCATGCCGCCCCCAAACTCGGCCTTCACCGGTTTCCGCAGCCCGATCTCATCGGCCCCACGCAGCAAACTGCAGAGAGGGGATGGGGCTGGGAATGGGGCCGAGCTGGGGGCGCAGGGGGGGGGATGGGGATGGGAGCACACGCACCTCTCGTAGGTGGCTGTGACGAAGAAGGCGTAGGCGCGGGTGTGCTTGTGGTGCCGCACCTGCACGATGAGCTCGGGGATGCCGAGGCGGATGTGGTTCAGCAGCCAGAGCAGCGTGTGGTCGTCCGTGGTGTCTGCAGGGGGGTGGGCACCGATGTGTCCCCACGTCCACCCGCTTCTCCGAGGAGCTCTGTGTCCCCGGTCCCCCTGCCCTCCCTGCCCCCCTCCCCCCCTTCGCACCTGGGAAGGTCATGAGCACATCGCAGTTCTCGGTGGGCACCGTCTTCATCCAGGCTTTGTGGGACATGATGTAGCGCCCGGCTTGGAGCAGCCGCTTCCCAAAAAGCTTGTCTGCGGAGAATGGAGCGGCTCCGTCACCTCTGTCACCCACCCCATAACCCCACAACCCCACAACCCCACAGCGCTGGGTCGGCCACCAGCACAGCTGCAATGGGAACGGAGACCGCGGTGGCCGCGGCTCAGGTTTCTCCTCTGAGTGCCTGAAAAAGCCCTGCCAGCTGCAGGAGGTGACGCACGGCCCGGTATGGCATGGCACGGCCCCCCCCCCC